ACAATTATAAATCGTGTAACATTGAAAAATATTTAATTGTAACGTTCTTGATATATTTTTGTCGATGTTAAGAAAATTAATTACATTTTCAATTTGTTAAGTAACATTGAATGAAAATGGATCTTGTTAAACAATTAATTGGTAATTGAAATTAAGTCCGGAAAATCCCTGAAACAATGTCAATTTCTCTTGAAAGACTTTTCGTAAGGAAACATGGAAATAAAGAACCTTGCGGGTAAGCTATTAATTATAAATTAATTAATTAAAAGTGAATGTTATCTGACCGAAGATAGCGTTTAAGGGTATTATAATTTCTAAGTTGATTGATATACGGTGTGCGCCCCTGGCGAAATGAAAAGATTATGAGAATCGTCCGACGAATTGATTGCAATATTTGTATCGCTGATTATACAAAGCACTTATATGATATTTCCGTCTGTGAAATTAATTCGATGTCATTGTATGTGTAAATAAAGATAGATTATCTTTGACAACAGCGACCGCCATGTTTCCTTCTCCTAATTTCGCCAATTTCTCATTATTTCATCAACTATAAACAATAATTTCTAATTTCTTACTAAATTTTTCTATAATTCATTCCCATAATTGTTTCTTCAATATTCACTACCTTTGCCTAACTCAATTCATTAAATACGAATAGAAACTTCATTTATAAAAGAAACTGAATTTTTATGTAACTATTTTTGTTTAACTAGGTCTTTTGTATTAATTAGAAACAACAGCAATTTTAGTTTACAACGGAAAACAATTTCGAGTTGCTTTTACATATTTCATGAAAATTCATGAAGCGATACCATTTTGTATAGTATTTTATAGTTGAGAGGAATATCGATAAATAAAAAAGACTTACCTGTTCGAAGCCGCCCAAAATTTCGGTGGTGTCCATCGCAGAATTTACGACGATCGATTTCAGCTTTTGTCCGGCCAAATTCGCTAGAAGATGAACGAGACTGGTTTTCCCACTGCCGGAGTCACCAATCTGGCAAATAATACCAAAAACTATAAACAATTAAATAAGAGTAAAAAGTAACAGATCACATTTTCATTAAATACATTTAAGTCATAAATCATTCAAAGTAATTCTTTAATCAATAAAAACTATAAATTTTATTGCAAAAGAAGCAATACAAATTCTTATAAAAATTGCAGCTGTTTTTATATACTTAAATTATTTACTTTTTGAAAAGATCTTTTTCTAAATAAGTGTTTAAATTGTTAAAAACTGTTATGGCTAAATTGCAGATTGTTATATTACTTTCTTTAATTTTTGAGCAAATGTTTCTTCCAGATTAATTTTCTAAAGAATCTACTTTCTGAATTAAAGGGATCTTTCATTTTCTTCTCTCTTTGACTTTTTCCATAAAAATGTAAATTTATATAAAGTTCCACAGCCTGGTTATCACATGAGTACTTCAAGCATGAAGTTGCATTCACGTGGGAGGCAGACTTACAAGAATAGTCATCCAATTCATGTTAACGCACTGCGCAAGATCCTTCAAGGCAGCCTTCTGGTCCCTGAGGAGCAACAGATTATCGTCCTCGCACACCGCAGAGTCACTGCGATCCAACACTTCGTCCCCTAAGAAGACCTTCTCTTTTGTGAAATGAACAGGAAATTCTGGGTCTGGAAGAGGATGATTATCCAGCGAAAATATTTCGTCGTAGATTTGTTTCACCTACAATTAAAAGAACATTCATATAATTCAGATAATTTAACAAATTTAAATTTATATTTGATTTGGATTTAAATTAAAAATGATACTAATGTTAGCAATAATAAATACTCCAAACCGTTATTAAAATAAAAAAAGGAGCTAATTTTTTTTAAGTATATTACAAGATTGAGAATAAATTTTCATTCGTTCTGAAATATAATTACAAGTAAATTACCTTTGTTTTATCGTCCTCTGTTCTCATTCTATCAACATAAATTAACTGTGCACCTTTCCCAGGATTAAAAATCTTCCCAGAACTATTTACAAAAGCTGCCATTGTTATTTCACACCACCTGGTTACGTCCCTGAGGTTCATTTCCCAAGGTGATCCTGAATGAGCCCATTTAATACCAGCTTCAGAACTCAATCTTTCATTGAACCTGATTATTTTGCTCATTAAATCTTCTGGCAACTCTGGAAATTTAGCCTTTAAAATGAAACTCAAATCCTCTACTTCTAAGACATCAATAAAAACCTGAAAGGAGAAGGTCATAGTTGAACTGAATAGTTCTGATAATGAATAAAACAAGATGGTAATAGATACATAACATAAAATGGAACACAATAAAAAAAAATTAAATACAATAGTATCTAAAAATTGCCACTTACTTGTGTAAAGCGATTCAAAAATGACTTTGGAAGTCCCCTTCTAGCTCCACCTTGACGCAGAGGATTCTGGCAACCAAAAAGACGTGTTCCAGGCTTGACAGTAAAAGTCATCCCCAATTCTGGAATATAAACTTCCCCACGATGGTCAAGGCAAGCATTCAGTCCTTCCAAGACCGACTGAGAAGCAAGGTTCAATTCATCAAGCAAGATCCAATCCCCGTTCTTCAAGGCTCTCAAGAATGGACCATCTCGCCATGAAAACTCTCCAGGCTTTCCACCCTCGACTGGCAAATCAGCTCCAAATAAATCAGATATGTCCTACGGAAAATTCAAAACATGTTTCATATATACATCAATTGGTACTCAACAGGTAAGGAATATTTACCGTCTGATCACTAAGATTCAGCCTAAGAAGTCGATGGCCAGAGGATCTGGCAAGAGCAGACACCAGGCTAGTCTTACCAACTCCGGGACTACCTTCTAATAAGATTGGTTTCTTCAACTGCATGGCACGCAGAACTTTTAAAGTATTTGTCCTAGTCGTTGGACTCTTGAAAGCAAATCCTATGTCACTTGGAATTCCTTCATCGCCTTTCTTCACATAAAATGGCGAGATGCCAAACTTAACATCAAGGTTTTCTACATCAGACTGTTCACAGTTTAACATCAACTTGGACTTCAAAGTATTGTGTACTTGATACTTAATAAACTTCACTGCTGAATCTTTAAAATCCTTGAACTTTCTTGAACTGAAAAATAATACATATTATTACGTAAGTTGCTGAATCATTTACACAATTGTGATTCACTTACTTTTCGGTGGCAGTCACGCCAGACCCAAGTCCGTCAATGTAGCTCAATGCTGCGCCATGGAAGAAAGAGTCTCCTATTTCTAAGTTCTCACAGCAATTAACGAAATTCACCCATGTCAGCACGTCCCTGACACTGACAACAAGCTTCTTCCCTATCTCTGTTGTTTGCAGCCATTCGAGGAAGGCTATGATAGCTGTAGGAATATTCTCCTTCAATCCTTCACGAAGATTGTGCACCATAATAGATCTGAGATCCTCGGACGACACGCAACCCTCGCACCAAATCTCAGTGAACCTGTTTCTAAGCGCCGGTGACAGTTCCTTCTTGCCATAATCGCCACCGGGATTCATAGTGCCAACAAAGATAAAGTCTTCGCTCGCAGAGACGGTTGCGTTTTCTTCGCTGGACGGTTTCTCTGCAATTAAGAGCTTGCGTTCTGGTTCTAGGAGAGAGTTCAGTCGTTCAAGGACACTGTCATCCGCCAGAGAGATTTCATCCACCAGAAAGAAGCCTCCAGTTTTCATGGCTTTTACCAGAGAACCATCCATCCATTCGAACAGTTTCTGACTGTCTTTGTGATCTCTGACAGGGCGAAGACTGCCAAGAAAGTCAGAGGCCTCTGTGTGCATGTGACAATTAACGACGCTAAGTTCTTGCTGTCTGATCGTTGACAAAAGTTGGCAAATTGTGGTCTTGCCACCTCCAGTCTCACCAATCAGAAGCACTGGCTCCCTGAAATCACAGGCCTTTGTAAGAAGCACTGCCATTTTTCGCATCTGGAAAGTCCAGACTATATGTTCAAATCCTGGAATCTTCTTTGACAGAAGACATTCTAGAATTGGTTTAGTGACTGGTGAGGTTTTATCTGAAAGTGAAAACAAAGACTCTGGATCAACATCTCTTTTCAGGTGCTTCTTTAAAACCTGTATGATCTCTAAACATTCTTCAGGGTGACGAACTTTGGATGACAGAACCAGATATCCTTCATCAGCTAGGTGCTGACTCCAATCATACAAAGTGCCTTTATGGTCAGGCGCCAGACGATACCTTTCAGCCCACCGGAACAGGTCCCTGAGAGTTATGAACCCTTTCTTTCCGGCAAATGTCGCGGTACTTTTCCTTCTAATCTGAAGTTCCGTCATCACGCTGATCACCTGTTTGCAATAAGTTTCTGGCATCTTGCATCTCTTGTGCAATATTATTTGCAGCTCTTTCGGTGGTATCTCGTCGAAATGTAATTCAACAAACCTATTTCTGAACGCACGGGACAGTATCTTCCTGCCGCCATACAATCCTGGAGGATTCTGAGTAGCAAAGAGCATGAAATTATCATGCGCTTTGACTACTTGTTGTGTTTCTGGAATGTATAGTTCTCTATTATCATCAAGCACCCTGTTTAGAGCCTCTAGAACATCGCTAGGTGCTAAATTCAACTCATCCAGGATTATCCAATATCCTTTGCGCATAGCATCCACTAGAATACCCTCTTTGTATACCAGCTTTCCAGTACAATCAGCTACATAAGTGCCAACATACTCTTGTAAATCAGTGTGCTCGTGATTGTTAATTCTTACACAGGTATGTCCAGAGGCTTTTGCCAGATATGTGATCAAACTAGTCTTTCCAACAGAAGTATCACCTTGAAGTAACACAGGCATCTTTCCAATGGATACTACTCGCACTAAATCCTTCAAATTTTGCTTGACCGTCTCTGTTAATATGTAATTCTCTGGTGTCTCAGGACTAAGGTCACCTTTAGGAATCCAATATCCTTCAAAACAAATGAAACTGTCATTAGACGCACTTTGTGGTCTTGGAATTGGAGTTCTAAGAATTGCGTTGGCAGCCTTCTCGCCTAAGATGGCCTTCACAATCATCCTCAACACCAATGGATACGATTGACTGTCCAATTGCGTTAAGAAACTCAAGCAAAATGCTTCGTACAAAGATCTCAACGCGTTTCCACAAGGATTCTGAGAAGACACACTCAATGCCCTGCACAGGGTTCTTAAACTGTAATGTGGCTTGTGACCAGTTCCATCAAGTAGATTGGCTTCAGCCTCTTTTCTGACATTCAAGTAGAATTTGACAATGCCATCAATCTTTTCAGGTGGAAGGTTCAAGTCTTTCAAATAGGAATTCACAAGAAGTTGTAAGTCTGCCTTCTCTGTGAGCTCATCGACAAAGAATTCTGTGAATCTGTTCCTGAGTCCTACAGGAAGGTCTTTCTTTCCGACATCAGTAGCTGGATTCATGCACGCAAATATCGCAAAATCTGGGTGTCTCTTGATCGGTTCTTTGTCTCCTCGCTCCAACAAAGAGAGCGACCCACAAGAGTCCTCTAACAATCCAGAGAGACATTCCAATGTTTCTGCAGTAGCTAAATTGATCTCATCTAGTAAAACCCAATCCCCATTCTTCAGGGCTTTAACTAAACCACCTTCGACGAAAGAGAAAGCCAACGAATAGTTACTCTGCACTTGAGATTGCAATTTTTCCAATTTCTGAGCCATAGCTTCCCACTTCTTCAAAAGTTGCACTGCATCCTGATTTATTTTACTTGCTTTTAATCTTTTCAGTGCTGCACTAGTACTGTGGATCATCAAGGTAGTCAAGGTTTTCCATTTTCTCTCCTCGATACAATGTCCAATATGACTCAAAAATTTCTTGTTTGGTTCAATGGCGAAGTACGATCGGAACAAGATCTCAAATTCCTCGCGAATTGGAAGAATTAGAAGCTTGAAGTCTACAGGTTTGTAACCACCAAGCAAATCTGTGCTCTCGCTCTGTTGGTTCATGTTTATTACCACCAACTTGTGACCAGTTATCTGTGCAAGATACTGAATGCAACTGGTTTTCCCTGTTCCAGTCTCACCAACAAGAAGTACAGGCTCTTTTTGAGCTACACAACTAGTTATGCGCTCTAAGAGACAAACAGAAGGCCTTGTGTAAGAGAAATTTGAACTTTTGACAGCAAGTTTCACTCTTTCAGACTTCTTTATGTCTAATTTTGCTCTGCCAACTGTCAGAGTCTTCTTTTGAAAATCGACTGACGGCTTGTGCATGTTGCAGAAATACTCTGCTTTTGTTTTTACAATACCTAACTTGTGTGCTACTGCTATTGCTAAATTCAGTCGTTGAGCTGAAATATACAGAACTATTGAATATACTTCTTATTTTTTAATATTAGAAGCGCTCCATGCATGAATGTAAACTATACATACCACTGCTGGGCACAGAACAGCAAAAGACATCCAAAGCATCTTGGAAGATTTTTAATGCAGACTCAGGTGAAGATACATCAAAATCAACAATTGCTCTAAAACACCACTTAATTAAATCTCTAGTAGAAATTTGTCTGGCGTTTCGTATGCTATTCACAGTTTCCTCTTCATGTTTGCCGACAGAAAACAACAAAAACACGTCGATTATTCTTGTAGCCACTGTATGTAGCAATGGAAATGAAGTCTGTACAACAATTACAAGTTCTTCCTTAGATAATGGTTCCACATTAACGCAAGACCAATGTTTCTGGAACGGTAAAGACATTTTGAACGCCTTCTGCGTTCCATCAGCAGTGGATCTCACAGAAACAAATAATTGAAATCCACTTTTTACGTGAATTGAGTCCCTGTATCCAGGAACCGACAATGTCTTATTTTCTACAAGCTGTCCAATGACACTGATAACATCTGTAGGAGCACAATCAATGTCCTCTAGAAGCAACCATTTGCCAGATAATACAGCTTCTGTTAAAATTCCTGGATGCCACAGAAATTCTCCAGGAATATCAGTACACAGGTACATTCCTAATAACATTTTAGAGTCTGTTTGATCACCTAATTGTACTTTTGCGAAATTTTTTTCATCATGGCCTGTTGCCTCTGCTAAGAAATCCACTAATGCAGTCTTTCCAGAACCAACAGCACCATGTAAACAAACACATTTATTAGAAGATACAGCGAAAGCTAGGTTCTGCAAATTTCTTCTTGTGGATGGTACCGGAACTAAGTTTTGTTCCCTTTTATATTTTAATTTCTTGTACACTGGAAGGAGAATTCCTCCTATGGACACTACTGATGTCAGATCATTGAATATTTGATCTGTTTCTTCAATTTCTGTAGACGTTACATTATTATGGCTAGTTTTTTGGCATAGTATAGGAAACTGTTCACTGTTTGGAACTAAGTCTTTCATGTGGTTCAACATACAGGATTCTGACATCTCTAAGACAATAGCAATACAATTCATAGATATCCTGACAAATTAATAGAAACAATTACTTTTAAAATGAATATTAATAGTATGATAATAGTGTAGGAAAGTATATTACCATCTAACAGCTTGGTCATCAGCTGATAAATATTTGTAAAATTTCGACCAATTCCATGCATACTTGAAATGCACTGGTGCGCTGCACAGTATATCGTAGCAGGCTGTTACTAAATCGTAATCAGATATTTCACAATGTGATGACATTCTTTTTTTGCTATGTCTTTTAGCAGAAGGAGTATAGTCATCTTCTATAGACTCGAATGGTGCTGGATTTGCGTCGAAATAGTGTAGAACAAAGCTATAATTACATAATAAATCATTTTTTCTTAGTTCTATTATTACAAGGCTATATGCTTATATGTTGAATAAAAATATTTTAATTTAAACTAACAGCCATTTTTTGTCCTCATCTAAAATTTTCTATATTAGACCTAAAAATTAACATAGAATATTTGACATAATTATAGAAATGCTTACGTTAACAAGTCAGGATTTTTACAGATGAGTTTTCCCAAGATAATGCAATTTAATTTGTGCAACTTATCCCCATCATTAAAAGACACCTTCTCTATGGATATGCTTGTAGAAACTATTGCAGGTATCAATTGTGGAAAACATTCAGCAACATCTTCTGTATCCTTCGGATTCATCAAGAATTCGCACAAAACATCCAAAATCTTTTGGCGATCATTTTTGCTCAGATCCTACAACACAATGTTGTTTGCAAAAATTTAGCACTGTTTAGATGCCGGGATTAAATTGACTATAAAAATGTAAAAGAGGTATAATTTACCTCAGAATTTACATAGGCTGCAAGCTTGTGCGCATAATTTTCTTTCCTTTCAATGAAAATCCGCAAACTTTGTAGCAACATGTTTGCAAACGAAGGAAACCGAATCACATGTGTAACTTTGTGTAAACGTTTAAATCGATGGCTAAGTACCCACGTGCTTTTGACGGCTTCATCTGAAGTTAGCACATGAAAACATAATTTGAAACCCTACTCATAAAAAAATTCCCTCGATTATCGAATTGATCGATAACTTCATTTTTGAAAATACGTGGGAATTTTCAAATGTACGTGCGTATGTATAACGCGTCCTATTTAAACCTTTCAAAATTGTATACATTGTTCAATTAATAAAGTAATCTTTTTACTCTTGAGCTGAATATTCATCGAATCTACGTAATTTTGATAAATTCAGATTTGTTACGTAGTGTTTTATTTTGCGCCAAAAAATTCCCTAGATTGTCAAACTGTGTGAATTGTTCCTCAAAATACGCGGAAATTTCTAAATAGTTTGTGAAAATAATTTGTGTAATTTTCGCATTGTTTAATGAATACATTAACATTTAAGTTACAAAATCGAGTAATTTGATATACACGAACTAAATGAAATTCGAAAATGTGGTTAAAGGTAAGGAATAATCCTATGTTTCCTAAATTGAACAATTTTTATTCTAAACTAATTCGTATTAAATAATTAGTTTTAAGAACTGTATTGATCAATATTACATGAAAAATGGAGGTAGCATAAAATATGAAATACTTTCAATTCATCTTTAATATAAAATAAAAGCATAATTTATTTTTTACATATATCACAAGAAGTATTAATTAGAATGTAAATTTTCATAATACATTTGATATTAGAAAATCTCTGGATGCGCAGTTAATTCATCTCTCAACTTTGTTTCCAGTATACGTAGAGAAAGATTGTCAACCTGAACATTAAAGCTGACGTAGACTGGCTTTGAAAGTTTCTTCGACAATCTCTGGGCAAGATTGCTTGATGTCTCATCAGAAATTGCTCCCAGAATCTTTGTTGTGAGTGGTTCTTTTGCAAACGGCGACACAATGGCAAATGATAAGTCATTCATGACATTCTCCTTTGAATCACCCACCCACAGGTAGAGACAATTATCCATTTTAATAGTATGACAGGAAAATGCGTTATTGCCAATATCTATCACAAAATCGTGAAACTTGAAACTACATTCACTAGTTTCTGGTTGCTCTTCTGCGTTATTTCCCATTTCTCTGTAATTTACACCTCTCCACGTGTTTATAAGTTGTTTTACTTTGCTAGAAAAAGTGCTGTGCTATCGTGGGTACATAACCTGTAAATTTTGGCTTGTATAGCAACGATCATAAACTATAATATATATGTATATACCTATGGTTAGGTTTATCACTTTATAATTATTTCAGATTGCATACCATTTTATATTAAAAACTGTACTAAGGATTCCTTAATGTATATTTATGTATTCTACATTTATATTTTATTCTTTTTAAAGCCAATTATTTAAGATTACCGGGCTTTTTTGAATTCTGAATACAGCTGGACTGGAATTTAATTAAAAATTCCACAGTATGAGTTATCAGTCAATAAAATTTTTAATTAATAAAAACTCCAGTTACTTAACTTTTAATTATTGACAGAATTATTTAAAAAAGAAGATCACAATGTCGCCGTCTACGGAAAAATACTCGAACTCATAGCCAATTACTATTATGAAGTTTTTACTAGATGGCATAATGTACATCTCTCACAACAATTTTTCAAACTTTCTAACGCGCAGTGGGGCCATTGCTTACTAAACGCGGTAAAAAGTAATTTGAATAAAATATTTCTATAACGAAAAGTTAATTCGCATATAGTTTGTTGGGAATGTGGACTATGATTTGGTATGACTTCATGCATTGCAGATTGTTGAAAATGCAACACTATCTTTTGTTTCGAGGTTTCAGACACAATTTATCGCTTCTAATAGCCCGTATGAGTCTTAGTTTCTTTCTTTTTTATTGATCAAGGGGAAACAATGCTTTTTTAAAAATGTGATTATCAAGTGCATAACTATGCACTAAGGAATTATGCCCCACGAGTATACGCGTTAACCAACCCCTCGGATTACGCCATCGTCTGGGTATTCCCGATGGATCTCAACTGTAACGTGCGAAGGTGAAAATGAATAAACTGCTAAAACATTTAATAATAAAGAAATTCGTTTAATTCTGTATAAATACAGGGTCATAATCTATGTCTGATTACGACTCGTTGTCCTCTCCGTCCGGTAAAATGACATCAATCAGATGTTGTGGTATCGTTTCTTTTTTGTACATTTGACAATTAAAGAATTCTAACGTTTTTTGCGACGCTTCCCAGGAAATGCAAGTTTCTCTTTCAGCCCTTAAATCTAATTTTACCCTAGTTAACGAACCAATCATTTTACATTTTAATCTAGTCCTTTTTTCGGATTTTATTTTGTTTATCATTGAGAAAAATCTCTCAGCTTCGCCATTTGGGTGGGGTATCAATAAACACAACTCTGCGAACTTGGTAATGTTGGGGAATCTATATTCACCTATTGGATTTTTAATTTCGCTCATTTTCTTCCAGAAATCACAAACTTTCAGTTCTGCTATTTCATTTTTCTCCTCGTGTGTAAAATATGAAGCCATTTCATGCCATTCTAAATACACACTATGGCTGTCAAATTTCGAAGGAAATTTTTCCAAAATATGCCTCAATTGGTCTTTGTGTATTTGTAAATTTAATGTAACTTTAGGTTCCAGAAATCCTAAGGCATCAAAAAATTGTTCATTGAGGGGCAATCTTGCAAGTACATCTTCATATGCAGTTTGATAAAATTTTTGTATATTTTTATAAAATAGTTTTATTTCATCATCGCTTGCTTCATTCGTCTCCTTGATTGCCTCTATTGTTTCTTGAGCTTCATTATGAATAAAAATATTTTCTACAGGAAGTAAGTTATGGTTGTCATGTATATCAATAGCATGTAAATTCTCTGCTGTTGTCATACATTTTTCTGTTAAAAACGCATATCCCAAAAATCTTAAAAATCTTTTCAACTCGGGCAATAATTGTTGTATCATTACATCTTTGCCTTCAAATAAAAGATTAAATTTGTTCATTGCTGTAAGAATAGACTTTAAAAATTGTAAATATGCTTTCGTTAATTTCTTATTTAATGTGTTAAAGATGTAGCTAACTATTTCTGTTTTGTCTTTCAAATGAGTCTCTGTAATAAATCTGATTAATACTGGCCACTGCGTTAAAATTCTGTTTATTAAATCTGCCAGTGTCAACCATCGACTGGGACTTAGCTGAATTGTCTTTCCTTTCCCAATGTTGAAAAGTTTTTGAGTTTCTTCAAGCATATCTTTTCTCTTGGGACCTCTGGAAAAATATGTATATATTCTATCAATAACCTTAATAATTTCTTGTGGCAAGCGTTTTGTTGCATTATATGCAGCTAAATGTATACAATGGCATGCGCATGGAACTATGGCAACTTCTTTATTCGTTGCCAATATTCTGGAGACAAATGAATTGTGTTTCCCCAACATTACGTTCGCGTTGTCTATACAAACGCCCACTAAATTTTTAATGTTTAAATTGTTCGTTTCTAACGTATACATTAAACATTTATATAGATTCTCTGCAGTGTTCTCTCTAATTTTTAAATAATCTAGTAAATACGTTGTGATAATACCCTCATTAGCATAACGAACTAAAATACATTTATTTTTATTATCACAGAGATCTGTACCTTCATCAATAAGAATTGAAAAGTATCTATTTGCTAAAATTTCTGTGTGCTTTGCAACTATTCCTTTACTTAGCACGTTCGTTATTGTAGCTTTTATTTTAGTCCTTTTCAAGGAAATTTTACTTAAAATTTCTGAGTCTGGGAAAGATTCGCGTAACATTTTTATGTAATGACTGAATGAATTGAAAGTACGATTATGTTCTACTATGTCTACACATAATCTCAATTCTGCTTCTCTGACCATTTCTTCAAAATTTTCAGCTCTTTCCACATCAAACTCTGAAAATAATGTTAATAGCTGTTATACTACACATATCTATATTTCTTTAATTGTAATTATTTATACTTATAATTATTCTTTTAGTTATGTAGTTAATGTATAGTTCATACCTTCTTTTATTAAGACTAAAGTCCAGTTCCTTGCACTTTCTTCATTTTGAATATGTTTTCCTGTATTTTTGTGCCTTACTAGGTCACGTCTACATGCTGCTAGGTCTGTTTGGCAAATTCTACAGTTTGCTTTCTCAATGTCCTCACATTTTTCCAGCCACAATGCAAATTCTGGTTCTTGCAGCCACTCATCCTTGAACTCGTTTCTCTTATATATCTTCTTGGCAGGTGGAGGAGACGCACAAGTACAAAAAGTACTTATATTTGTACTGTCTATTAATGCAAAATTACTGTACTTTATCAAAAAAGTACTATATATTTAGGGTAATCTTCCGAAAAACACCTGGGGCCAATTAAGAGGGTATTTCAGTTTAGATGCGTTTTTCAAGCATTCTTTTAGAACTTCTTTTAAACAAACTGTAGACTGTTTTATATTGGGATTTATATATTTATATATCTACATATATTTCTAGCGTATACAATATTTTGTTCATGTAAAAATAATGTTAAATGTATAAGCTACGGGACATTGCAGTAAATCCCATTAAAAAAAAGTGTCTCCATGGTTGGCATGAATCCAGCTGTCCCGTTAATTGAAAAAACTGGGAGAAAAGTATCTTCATTAGAAAGGATGTGGTTACGGCTGGAACTAGGAAAAAGTCAAAATTTTTATAAACAAAAAAATGGCAACACTGCAAATTTAGGGTTTCGTGTTTTTATCTTCTGCTGAAGATTCTCTGTTTACGCCTGTATACATTACTTTCAATGTATAGCATTCAGAGTTATTTTTGAATATCTTGGGTACTACTAATTCCTCTCCATCTCTCCTATACACGTTCCTAATTTCGTCTCGATTGGCGACAAGTCTTTTCCAGAAGTACAGTCCGTACTTTTACTGGCTGTTTATTTGTCTTACCTGAATCCATATTTGAAGTCAACATTGAAAAATAGAACTTTGGAAAGATCACAAAGAGAACACTTGAAATCAAACACAAGCGAAACGGTAACAAACACAGCAAGAGAATGGACACCACGCTGCAATGCCGCGTCCCAGTATGTCTTTCCAATTTCCAACAGTCGGCGGCATAGGGGCGTCCCGCGTGTCGCACTCCCCTCAAAATCGTCGCCAAACTTCTTCTTGTATCCCACTACTGTCGGAAAATATCGGAAAGGAGAACACCAAAGTGGTGGGAATGCGCCATGTAGCAAAAAGCTGATCTGCACGTTGTCACGTGACTACGCCAATGTACACTAGAACTGGCCAGGAGGTCAACGTGTCCCCCACCAACTTCACTTACCAACGATATCGGGGTGACTGCGACGGGCGGGCCACCCCTATTCCGGTCCTTTCTGGCAACAGTCAGAGGTGCCTTCTTTTTGTTCATTATTTTTCAATGATCTGTGGCAAAGTCGGGGAATAAGCAGTTTGTCGACGATCTCGGGGAAGTGCGACGGGCGGGCCACCCCTATTCCGGTCCTTTCTGGCAACACTGCCAAGTATGTCTTCTCCTTGTTGATCATTTTCCAATGATCTTGATTAGACTATGTTCAAAGGAAATGTACATGTGATTTTTTATTAACATATTAAATAACTGTTGAAGAAATGCAACACAATCTTATTTAATACCTGCTAACAATTGCTGTTCAATAAGTTACTTATGTGTATGCCCATTCGAATGCATAAGTAAAATTTAAAATAATATTTCACACTTTTTATGTTATTAATTATTAAATAGTGCTTTTCCCATAGACGTTATTCAATTATCGTTACTATTTATTATACTTTGCAGTGGATATATGATTTCTAAACGAAAAATCCGCGAAATCAGCCTTGTGGCGCCACCTGTTAGAGAAACATGGTATTAATTGGCTAGTAGTTTCAGCGATCTGCCGAGGATGGCGCCACAAGTCCCATAAAATCGTTTTACAATTAGTTAAAGGCAAAATATGATCTGAATATTACAAATTATGATTATTAACGTAATGAACGAGTTTAACAAACAACTTGACATTTTTAGAAAAATGATTGAATCAAATTTTCTTTGGTTTCCTAAAATTTATTGTTGTCTACTTTTGAGTTAATGAATTAGAGTGACAAATAATGTTGTACTTATTAATAGGTTTTAAAATTATATATTTAGAAATTATTTTAGATTCATAGTTGGTAAATAATTTTGTAAGTTATTATAGTAAAACAATTTTGCGACCGTAGATGGCGATACCATACGCTTTGCAACATTTTCTATATGGTGAGCAGATGTTATTCAATTAATTAATTGACAACATTAAATTTATAACGTTAAAAACTCGAATAAATTCTTCCAATTCTCCTAAAGTAATTTACGCGACTGACATTAGCAACACTTCCCGTAATTAACTAACATTGTTGTTCCTATTTTTAATAACAATTAAGTTTAATATTTTTTTATAAAGTAAACAGTTAATTATTCTCTAATCATCGAGTAGATATTCTGAATTTTCTAAGAAGATATTCAAATGACAAATTTATAATATAAGTTATGACTTACAATCTATAACATTGCAGAAAATTAATTTATCAAAAGGCAACTTCGTTCGCAAAATTGTATCTTTGAACAAATGTGCAGTAGTTGACGTTTTACAACATGTGATGTTCTTTGTAAACGGAAGCGATTTTACTTTCATTCTACAGTAGATCCCAGCGTTGTAGCAAAAAATTTAAGCACTACTCTTTCCGCGCCACCCGGTATGACAACTGCACATCGAGCCAGGCTTATTGATATACCTGCACCGGAATCACCTGCATGTGCAGTGAGCTGTATACCTAAGCCTCTAAACGATCGCGGCGCGTATAATTTATGAATTATTATTTTGTGCTATAATGTTGGACCCACTGTACGCGCGGCTGTTTCAAGCCACACCAACGGGGAGTCCCATCTTGTTGGAAACTGAGATAAAAAGCACTTCCATTGGCGTAATGTCTCGGAATTGCCATATCTCGGAAATATCAACACGTCGACACAATATCAATCAAGAATAATACAATCATGAAATAAACACGATCTACAATGTGACTGCAATTTTTACAAAATTTTTGAGGTGGCTACTACAAAAATTGAACCATATCGAACTATGGTGACATTGGCGTAACTATCGTATTTATACGTATTTATCTACCACGTTGCAAAGTTTTTAATGCTGTTTGAATATTATGCAGAGAAATATTTCTATTTGAAAAATATTCGAACATCTGCACATTTTATTATTTTTTATTGTTTGTTCTTTTAGATCAGCAAATAGTGTGGGTGCCTACATTTTATCTTCAGTGTATCAATAATTTGTATACATAGGCGATATCTCCCATCTTTGTTCCATTTTTTAACCATGCTACAGAACTCCTAAAAAATGTCACACTGAATCAGCAATAAAAAAAACTCTGAAAAATTCTTCTCTGAAATTCCCTAAGTCTTCTAGTCATTAGACACTAGACGCCAACTGTTAAGGGCTACAAAAATCCCTAGAATCAATCGTCCCGAATGATTATAACCAAAATCTTGTACCTAGACTCACTAGACAGTCATTAAATTTTTTAATCAATATTGATAGAGGCATTGATGAACGTTTTTCTTCTGAACAAAACTATACAGTATGCTTCATCAATTAAAAATTGTGACATAGAAAATTCCCAAGACTTTCTATAAGGTCACTGAACGGACATTCAACGTAAGAAAAACAAGATCTTCTAGATAGTTACTAAATTTTCTGACATAAAACCATGAAAACCTTTTGGACTGTTTATACAAATAAACTGCCCACCGTGATAGCATAAAAATCCTTCAAAATAATCAGCAAGTTGTCTAACGCAAAAAAGCAACCAAAATCTCTGAACACTCTTTAAATACAACCAATAAAAATACATGCAACAAAAAAATCAACAAAATTCCCTAGATTCACAATCTCCACGAATTCCGCGCCTGCAACGCCGTTAAAAATTTATATAAACAATCTCCGTCAACGAAAAATCCTAAAATAAACAATCTGACTATAAACAAGCCTCGATTTCACCGTGCAGCCCAATCAATTACAACCAATTCAAGTAGATCCTGCGCCGTACGGTGTCCCGAAACGATGTCGAAAATGACTTAAGAGCGGTTTTCCTGCGCGCTCATTACACTTTAACCAGCTGCCGGTCCCTCGGGAGTGCCACAGGGGTTATCTTGTCGCGAATTAATGGTGATCCCCTTGCCTTCCACCACTTTAAATCGACGAAAGGCGCGGAGAGCCCGATGCTCGGGCTCTAACCAAACAAGTATCGGTTCTCGGCCCGATCCCGGCCCGATAGAATCTCGGGCCAATGGTTACGCCAATGGTGCCCCGTCGGAGAGAGAGGCGACCGATATGGCGCGGCCAGGTAGAGACGAGGGGGCCGAGCCCCGTGTATACTATAATTACGAGTAACTCAGCCACATTTGCGTTGATCCGACACCTTAAAGATAACATTTAGCGGCCCCTTTTATCTCCGCGGCAAACAAACCAATTTATACCTCGGGTCGCTTTTGTGCGCTCCCTCCGGCCCCCTTGGGCTCTCTCCCCTCTCTCTCTCTCTCGCTCTCTCTCTCTCTTTTGCTATCTTGCTCTCTCGCTCTCTCTCTTGCTCTCTTTCTCCTTCTCTCTTGCTCTCTTTCTTCTTTTCTCTTGCTCTCTTGCTCTCTTGCTGTCTTCCTCTCTCGGAAGGGAGAAAGAACCCCGCCCCGAACTACGAATTAGGAGCATCCTTTTCTCCTCCTTTTACCACCTTCTTCCTTGCCTCGACTCCTTTGCTTCCCTTTCGCGCTTCGTTCGATCCTTCGTCGTCCCCGAGCTCCTTTTATTCCTCCACGTCCTCTCAGCCTTTTCTTTCGAGCCTCGTTCTCCTCGCCGATTTGCTCCTCTCGCACCACTGTTTTCGCTCCTTGCGGTGTTACCGGAGCTCCTTTCTTTGGATTTGTGGGTTTTCAGCTTGATCCTACTTTTCCGCTGCGTTAGCTGCTTTTGTCCCACAGGCTCTTTTTCTTGGACGAATGTTTTGACTTCTTGCGGTGTTACCGGAGATTCTTTCGAGCTTCTTCCTTCGGATCTCTGTGGCTTTTCGGGTTGATCCTATTTCCCTGCTGCGTCAGCTAGTTCTGTTCTGTTCTTGAGCGTTCCGTTTGGACGAATGATTCGACCAGATCTTTTATGACACTTATCGACGACAGTATATTAAATAAATCAAATATTCCGGACTGTGGCAGAAATATCTTCAGTGTGTTCTTTTTTCAAACGAGATTATCATCCGAGATATTGTCTTAAAAATGTTCGCACAGCGAATAAAATATTGTATTTTTAAAAATACAGCCGATGTGTATAATATTATTATAATTATAATATTATAATAATAATATTAATTAAATATTATATAATACTATTAATATTATATATATATTATTATTATATATATATATAATATTATTATGTAGTATTATATAATATTAATGATATCATATAATATTGTAGTTTCAAAAATACAAAAATATCGAGCGAATGAAATATTTCATTTACAAAAATATCACGCATGATCCGAAATAAAATATCTATTTGCCACTTGCCATTTGAAATACCATTTTACCCAGCTCCGATTACGACACACGTTCCTCCTAACGTCTCAGAAAAATCGAATTCATTTGGTCGGATTCCGAAAAATCGATTCCTCCTTGAAAAGATGTCCCCGATTATAGCAATGACCGTTCGCGTGTTCCGCGACGGCTTTCCTAGGCCGTAAACGCATAAATTTTCGTGGTCTGGTTAGGATTTAGGGTTTATGGGGACCCCCGTTGTAATAGAATGTTCAGAGGAGAGGCGACTCGCGTGGAATCCTCGAGGTCCCAGACGTGCCAACTGTCGGCGATAATAAAATTTCGAATACCCCGCGTCCCCATTACCGCTTATGATGCCGTAATCACGATCGTAGGATCAGTTTCCAGGCCTTCGATCGGCGATCCACGAGATCGTATCTCCTCCTGCTGTGCCGCAAAGCCTCGGTCGAGGCCTCACCATCGTTCTATGGGCACCGTGCGATGCTCTCCGGTGATTTTAATGGCGATTTTGATACAGAAAGTCGAAATTAAGTCATCCCGCTTTTACGTTGTCTTGGGGCTCGCCTAACTCGTCATTTCTTCCGCGAAATCATCTTCTCCGTTCCTTCATTGTTCCGCAGAGGTCTTGAAATTGCATTTCGTTCGTGTTGGAT